GGCAGTTTGTGGGGGAAGCAAAGGAGGGTTGATTGGTGTGGGTGTGGGCCATTGTGTCTTGGATTATAGTAGGTGTTTGTTCAGCCTAGTTGGGGAACACAATGGGGAACAAGGATGGGGTTATGACATGGGTTTGAAGGGGGATTTTGGCTGGTTATTTTCGGCCATAATAGGGAGAGAAGGGAGGGTTTGTTTAGGCTATGATTTGGGGTGGGTTTTGGCCTTTAGTGTATGAATGTAATGCATGGACAAATGTGGGGTTTAAGGGGTGTGGTGGTGTGTTGGTTTTGAGGGGGATTTTTGGCCAACCAAGGAAAAGGGTGAAGGGATACATTTATTTGGTAAACAAAAGACTTTGAAGGATGAAAACAACATTCTAAGGTTTTATTTGTCTTCTTACTTCTTATTTTCGGCCATAGGTAGAAAATAGGTTGGGAAGACTTTATTTTGAAAAACAAAACAAGGTGAAATACTTTTGGATGTTTTGGGAGAGGTTGGGTTTAGGTGGAGCCATCCATGGGTATAACAGTACACCGTCTCCAGCAATTACTATAATTATTTTGAGATGAATCATATTGTGGAAGCCTTCATTGTACTTCCTGGAGGAATTGACACTATGGAAGGTTTATTCACCTTGATTTCATGGGCATCCGAAGGGTTACACAGTAAACCCATTGGTCTTTTGAACATTGACGGTTATTTCAATAACCTAATCAAGTTTCTAGATGATGCGGTGAGGCAAAACTTCATGGCCTCCAACCAGAGGAAACTTTTCATTTCTTCTTTCTTTGTTGATGAGCTTTTAGACAAGCTAGAGTTTGCTAAGGCTTTCCCGGGCCCTGGTGCTAGTTATGACGAGTTTGCAAATCCTGAAAGATTAGACTTAGAGTTGCATCTGTAATATAATATTGTCCATGTACATTATGCGTTAATCATAAATATCGTTCTAAGCTGCATGACCAGTGCATTTCAGAAGAATATTTATTTCCAACATCAAAATGTATCATGTAAATATTAATCCTTTTCTTTATGTTCCAGTCTCTCACTGTTAATGTGACTGTTTCACATCTTGTTTTGTACTGTCATCTTGTTGCGACTTTTTGCGTCAATAGGGTATACGAACGAGTCAACTATCTTAATGTTTGTATGTAGTTTCACCCCTATAATGCATTTCAGATTCGATACATATGCCGTATTCGATCTGGTTTGTGAGACTCTATTCGTGTTCTTTAGAAAACGACAGATTCACTCTTGGGGAATTTATTCACTTCCTATTAGAGAACATTCTTTCTTTGACGTATTCTTCGGCTTGATAGAAGTTGATTCACATCGTTCACTTAGCCATTCGCGTACTATGACATACGTATATGTCATGCTTATCGGGTTTACAGTCCCTCTTCTTGATCTTTTGATGTCGACTGTGATCGTTGAAGAACATCTTGAGGCAATCTAAACTTTATTGCAATCGGGTCTATGAGGATACTAGCAACTCAAGAGAAGCAAATTTTCAATGAGTTAAGCATGTATGTTATGCCATAGTAACGTACTTGTTGATTACCTTCCCGGGGCAGAGATGTCGAGGAGGATGCGGATGCAGGACCTTGAAAATACTGACTCAATGATCCGAAAATCGTTTTGCTCTGATACCAAAATGTAACACCCCAATCCGTATAACCCGGAATTACACGAATTACGGTGAAACGAGGGTTAAATAATAATTTCTCTTGACATTTGAAAATGACAATTACTTATAAATGTTAAATTTACAGACTCTGGATCGCGACCCATTTAAAAATATTTTCAGAGTAATGCGGAAGTACAATAATAATCAAATCATGACACTTTTTAAAATCTGATGATCAACATTTGCCTGCCATCCTTGCATCTCCTCTGACTCAATGCCCTCCGGAAATGGTTCCATCATTGTCTTCTTGTTACCTACGTGTAGTCAACGAAAAATACAAACTACACGCTCAGCGAAACCGCTGAGTGGTACCACGCTAGAATTATAGAATAATTCACAGACATATACATATACATATATATACGTCCACAAAGTGTATATTAATATTCATGATATGAGACATTATATCATATGGTCAATTTGATGAATCGTGATGATAAATATTTAATGATAATTACATGATGGCACATTTAATCAATTTGCTTGTTCATGAGGATGATTACATGACACCTATGTAATCAATATAATTGTTCTTGATGATGATTACATGACACCTATGTAATCAATATAATTGTACTTGATGACGATAACATGATGCATGATCCTATAACTTGCAAGGACACCCTTGCGCTATGAGATTCGCCCATTTGGTACGACGAACTCACGCGGCCTTAGTCTCACGAATGAGGTGAGACTAGAGAAATAGGGGTGGTACTCGAAGACCTGAATACCATGTACGTACACTAAGCCCGAACGTGTGATGTCGGACTACTATGTCCCGCACAATCACGCTATAAGAGACGCAATTACGCATGATCTCTTACGCATGCACATGATGTGATATGCTTCAATATAAATGTTGAAATGAATGACATGATGTGAACAATTTGCAAACAATATGAATATATAATCATGCATTAGTTTATTTGGATGAAACATGATTAAAATATCATTTAATAAAACTACTGGGCTCAGAACGGTCGACCGTTTGGCGCGACGGTCGACCTTGATCTTCATCAGGTCGGATTGGCGATTCACCGTGACGGTCGACCGTGGTTGACCGGCGGTCGACCGTTGTTGACTGGCTGCGGATGGCGGACTTCGGCTTGCTGGCAGCGGTCGACCGTTAGCCACCGGCGGTCGACCGTTAGCCACTGGCGGTCGACTGTTTTGCTGACAGTCGTGGTCTGTTTCGAAGTTTAATGCGACGGTCGACCGTTTGGGTCTGCGAATCTTTCTCTTGATATTTTGAGTGTCCAAAATACTTCTTTAAATCTTTTAAACACCTTTGATTAACATATACATATTTTTGGATTGATTTCCAAGGTTTATATCTACTTATGTGTATATTAACTTTATGGATTTGGTGTATTTTGATCTCAACATATAGATGACATATATAAGTATCACATATATATTTTAGAGATAGTTTCAACATATGGATTAACATATATGTTCATGTACGTATGTGATGAATGATTCGTCAAGTCTAACGCAAGGGTACAAACCTGGAAATCATCGGCCGAAACCTTACGGATGAGCGGGAGTGGAAACAACATCGAAATTTGCCAACTTTGTCATTTCCGTCACAACTGGACAGCCTGCGGTATTTTGGGCATATCTCCATCGTTTCTTCACGGAATTGCAAACCGTTTGATTCTGTGGATTCCTAAGATGTAAGGCTATAACTTTCGTATAAAAAGTATTTCGTTTTAACAGATGTAAGATAGCGTAAATCGGGCCTGAAGTCAAGGGATAGTTGCTGTCCAGGATTTTGGATATGTCGGTGAACAATGATTCCGACGATTAACTCCTTAATTTCAATATTCCAACGCCAAACCTTCTCTACGATACCTTCCGGATGTTCCTAATAATCGTTAGAGAGTTCATGGTAAGTATTTGGAATGAAACAACATGAATATGGTGAGGAAACATAGCCAATCCCGAGGAGCTCGCCACCACTGGCGCAGTCCCGGTATTTTGGCCATATCTCCTTCGTTTCTTAACGAAATCGCGAGCCGTTTGTTGGGTTGGATTCGTATCGTCCGGGGCTACAACTTTGGTTCAGAAAGTATTTCGAGATAATGAATAGAAAATTTCAGTTTTTACCTAGAAGTGGGCTGCTGTGTTTGAGCTCAGGATTTTAGAACTTTGGATGGTTTTCTTGCTTCTTCTTCTTCTTCCTTAGGATACAACCATGGAGTATTTTTGTGTTTTCTTCTTCCTTAGCTTGCTGCCGACAGAGAGAGGGAGAGGAGGAAAATGGAGTTGTGATGGTGGATGGTGATGATGATGTATAATGATGATGATGGTGGTGGAATTGTGTAGGAAAGGGTTGAGATTTTGAGTATTATGTAGATTTAATGTATTACTCATTAAGTAGTGGAGAATAAATGGGGTGGCTAGTGGAGTGACTTACGTGATTGGGGAGGGATTTTAGAATATTAGTTTTGGAGTTTTGTTCAAACTGAACAGATTACTCTAAACGGTACGCGCTTTTTCGCCCAAACTACTCCGAATTGAAAACGAATTGCATTTTTAGAATTAGACTGTCAAAACTAGAATTTTGACATAATCAAAATATTTTTTTCTGAGAACTTTTATTTTTCTCAGTGTTCAGATCTGTCTCAGTCATAAATCAATTTAATAATATGAATGAGATATAAATATATGGATTAAATCCAAATGATAAATATGGTGTTGTCAAGTGTCAAAATTATGATTTCTAATCTTATGAAATCACTTTTGAATTGAGTTTAATTTATCGGGTCTCTTGGTATTTTTTGATGTCAGTGCTGCGCAGATTTGGATTTTCGGAGAATTGGATCGATCTGGTCTATCGGGCCATCTCGAATATATGGTACTCCGTCATTATTAATGGGATTCGAGAGGGTTTTTTTCATTCGACGAGGGGCCTGCAGCAGGGGGGCCCACTCTCTCCGTCCTTGTTCATCCTTTCAGCGGAGGTCCTTTCTCGCTCTTTGGCTCGACTGTATGCAGATCCTATAGTTGCTCGTTTTACACAGCCCCGTGATGCACCACATATCCATCATCTGGCCTACGCTGACGATATTGTCATCTTCACTTCGGCGAGGGGGGACACTTTAGAGAGAGTTCGAGCAGTTTTACGTTCCTATGAGCAGATTTCAGGCCAGGCTGTCAGCCTCCCTAAGAGTGCCTTCTATATGCACCCTAAGGCGTTGGCACCCGTGTTGGAGCGTGTTCGAGATACCCTCGGGTGTTCATTGGATGTGCTTCCATTCACTTATCTTGGCTGTCCTATTTATCATGGTCGGAAGCGCATTCATTACTTTGAGCCTATTCT